CGCCCCATTTTAACACCTTGTCACCACAGCTTGGGTTAAGGGTGCTTTTGTTCCGCCGCCCAAGGGAGCGGCTCCGCCTGTGCTGGGGTGAGAAAGTCCGCATCCCGTAAAATTCCGGCCGTGGGTGAAGCGATCCTTGGAAGCAGGCTGAGCTTTTGCTCGCCAAGGGCTCACGTTAGTCCTTCCCATCTCATCGTTGCCAGATCTTCCGCTCTGGTCCGAAGCGGGCTGGCACATCGTCCCAGCTTCCCCCCGCCCCCCGAGCAATTCTTCGGTGGAAAACCGCCACCAGCTCTGGATTTCACGGTGTCTGCGTCCTTCCCCTGGTGACAGCAGCTTTGCAGAGCGCAAGGAGCAGAGCTCGCCGCCTTTGTGCAGCTCCTGCTCGCCGGGAGCTCTCCCTGCGGAACAAGGGGTTGGGCGCCGGGGCAGGTTTCGGCGTCCGAGGGATCTGTCGGTTCACGGTTTCAGAGCAGCGTCTTCGCTCGAGCAGCACGACTGCTCCGGGTTACCGTTCTGTTGCCAGCGCTCAAGTTGCCCGGTGCCTTTTGCATCGCTAAAGACGTGCTGGGGAGCGCTGCCGGCCGGCCTCTGTGCCGGGGGACGGAGACGTGCTTGTGGTGGGAGGATGCCCCGGCAAATGTTCTGCTTTCTGCCCCTAGTCCTTGCGCGTTGGCATTTTTTCCCCCCGTTTTCCCTTCTCCGTCTCCCCATGTCTCTTCCCGAGCTCGTACCTCTCTCCTTTCGCTCACAGCAAGAGAGAAAAGGTCGGGCGGGTGCAGGGGCTGCTGCAGAAAGACCTGGTTTTCCCTGATGCGGAAGACTGACCTAGACCCGGGGGGCTGACAGACCAAACGTTGGTGCTTTAACAAGCTGAAAGGAACCAGAGACCCGCACGAAAGCGTGTCAGGGTGGTGGGAACTTGCTGTTCATCTGCGCCCGGGGAATTTCTTTCCCGCTTGGAGGGCTATTGATCGCAGCGACTGCCAATATTTGATGGCGGATGGGGGTTGCGGAGCCTTTTTCTGCTCTCTGGGGTGTGGGAAGAGCTGCTTGCTGCTTTCCCGGTCACAGGACGGGGCGGGGGGGTTTGCCAGCAGCCTTTAGCTCGGGCTGTTCTGTTCGTC